TTTGTCGCTTCACTTCCACCAGTCGCATCCTCCAACAGGTAATGAACTGTTTAAAAACATCTTCAGGACATCCAGCTCTGCTCTCTGAAGGTCCTGCCACAGCATATCAGTCATACTGAGATCTGGACCTTTGACTCGGCCACTACGTCTGTATTGCTGTATAATGGTTCTATCAACGCTCTAGTTTGGACCAAGCTTCAGCTCTCATGGCGTGCAATACATTTACGTTTCCACTCCATGGTTGGGTCCTGTGGCTCTGGTAGAGCTCCAATCATCATCCTACCCCCATCATGCTGGTGGAGTGTCTTTGCTGATATGTTTGTCCAGAGGAAATTGTCTTAGATGTCCTGTCCTTCATCCAGATACAATTTTGTTTAAAAATTGTACTGCCATTTTGTTCTGCTGAGGCCTGTAGAGTAGGAGATATAGCACTTTGTTTTTTGAACATTTCTTGGAGCTTCCTACTTTGATCTTGGGTGGCATCAGCTGGGACATTTATTCCTTGAAATCTGAGATGTTCCTTCTGCCTGAACTAAAGATAGCTTGGTAATTAACTTATAAAAGTTCCCACATTGATGGGCAGTTTCTTCTGGAAGATTATTGCCGTTGTCTGTGCTAGTGAGGATTCTCAGTCATCCAGGTCATAGACATTCCAAAAAAGTAAAAAAACAAACCACTGGACTTTGTTTCCATGTTTGAAGACGTTTCGCTTCCCATCCAATTCAATTGGAATTGAAAAAGCTTCCTGGATGGAAGCTTATTTTGTATTGCTCTTGTCCTTCAATTCAGTCTATTAATATAGTGCCAATTTATCTCAAGGCACTTTCCAGTTCACCAGTTGGCTCTTTGACTCAATGCAAACCCTCACACTAAGCATACTTGTAGCGACAGTTGAGAGGAAAAACTCCTTTTTAACAGGAAACCTCCAGCAGAACCAGGCTCAGGCTCAACCAGGCTCCTTCCATCCTATCTTAGTAAAAACACACATCTGTATATTCAGAGCAACACACAGCTAAAACCCCTCCTTTTATACAGGGAATCATGGTGCTTGTTATCTTGTACTTTTTTGGTCATACATTTATACCCGATTTACACTACCCTTGAAAAACCGATCAATGCGGAGACCGGTCCGAGCTCGGATCAGTTAACCAGGCCGAGTCCGGTTCTGATGACCGTTTACACATCAAGCTATCTCGGTTCCTTGACTCCTCACCTCCTAGTGACGATCTGCGGTATTACTGCCA